CCAAGCCCCTAAGCCCCTAAACCCTACACCCTAAGGTCTTAACCCCTAAGCCCCTAAACCCTTAAAACCCTAAACCCCTAAACCCCTAAACCTCTAAAACCCCTAAACCCCTAAACCCATAAACCCCTAAAGCCCTACACCCTGAACCCTAAACCCCTATCCCCTGCACCCTAAACCCTAAACCCCCTAAACCCGTAAACCCTAAGCCCTAAACCTTACACCCTAGACCCCTGAACCCTAAACCCCTGAACCCTAAACCCCTGAACCCCTGAACGCCTAAACCCCTAAACCCTATAGCCCAAAACTTGAACCCCTAAGCCCGTAAAACCCTCAACCCCTAAACCCTAAAGCCTAAACCCTAAAACTTGAACCCTGGCAGGACAGAAGTTGGGACCGTGCTTTGGGTAGACCAGCCTGGGGAGGCCCACTTTAGGCTTTAGAGTTTGGGTTGTAGGATCTAGGGTTTAGGGTTTGGGGTTTAGGGTTTGCTGCAATGTTGCGTAGCAGCAGTGATTCATAGGTTGTAAGACTCGTTAGCCGTTCTGTTGCTTGCGACTCGCAGACATGGCCCGACTGTGGAGGGCCATCTCACAACTCACCCACCTCACGCCGTCCGGGCGGCAAACCACCCAAACCTATACCTTTTAGGGCCTAAACTCAGCCAGGTCCATCTTGGTCATGAACATTATTCAGAAACATACTTCATTTCAAGAATTTCAAGGCTGGGTTTCTGGAATGGCCCAAGGCTTGAGGATCCGGTGGCCAGGCCCCCCCAAAGGGTCGAGATATTTGGAGGCCCTAGCAAGGTGGGAGGTGGCTGAGGCCTTAGGAGGCCTGGGAGGCCAAGGCAGGCCCTTGGAGGCCCTGAGGCCCGTTTAGGTATTGACTTTATAAGGGAACGGTACTGGTTCCAAGAGAACTTCTCCAGGCACCTGGCCTCTCGTGGGTGCTATCGAGGGGCTTAAGTGCAAGAAGACCTCCGGTAAGTGCCCCATATGCTAGTGTAGTTACAAGATCACTTGTGTTTGCTTCAGTCCCATTTGGTAAGCCCGAAGAACAGAAGGCGTACTCCTAATCATGTCACCCCAAAAATACACTGGCACCCCCCCAATCAGAAATATGCCTCCACAAATCCTCCTAATGCTTCATACTCCTTTAGGGCAGTGCTCGTTATTAAGGGGCTGCGGGGGCCATTTATCTATGACGGGGAGGGGATGTGAAGCCTAAACTTCAAACTCTAAACTGCATGAGGGCATGGCGTCGTTCAGGTTGGCTTTTCAATCGGAGCCGAAAGCGACGATGAGCTCGGCGTGTCCGAGCGGATGCTAGTTGCTGGGTTGCTGTTAAGGAACTTACATTAAATTGCGGTAATAAGGGTAGGGTTTAGGTTTTAGGGTTTAGGCTGTAGGGTTACTGTATGAAGGAACCCGTATTATTGATTGTATACCCATATTTTATGGTAACATGATTTTCGTTCCTTAACAACAACCCAGGTTTTCATGTTGGCGTTTTACGAGCGATATCCCTCCTTGCTCAAAGCGCCGTTGCCGCTTGGATGGGTTTTTGCTCACGTGCGATGTTGTTCAATCAGTGTGACGTCAGCTAACAATAGGCGGGGCTTGACTCAAAGGGGATGATCTGGATTTTGCCAAGGGCACCAAGACCGAAACACAGGAAAGAGTGCCTTCCATCATTTGGCCCGAAGTTTGCAAGCGGCCACAAAAACACATTATAGGGGGCCGCTTTATTTAAGGAAGCCCACCCAGCTGTAAATCCTAAGCCGTCTGTGCCATGCACGTGGCAAAAACCCAAATTCCTTTACCGTGTCGGATTGGACCTTGACATGTGCTTGGCCTACTGGTGCGGGACTGCTGGGGAATAAACTCACATAATTTCTCCCTTTTGGGGATTCTCTGTAATACTGGTGGTAGTAGTAGTAGTAGTAGTGGTAGTAGTAGTAGCAGTAGTAGTAGTAGTAGGAGGGGTTTGGGTTCCCATAACATGTTCGATCCACAACAGTGGAGTATTTATTGCTAGCGGGGCAGGGCGTTGAAGTATCTAGGCGGGGGATTACCAATATCACTATTCTCGTTTCTACTAGTAATATTGCTGTTATCTACTGCTATTCCTAATGTACCATGAATCCTGAACCCTTAAGCCCTGATTCCTAGATCCTAAGCCTGCTTTTTCGTTATTACCAAACCTCCTGCAAACCGGGATTTGGGTTTAAGGCTTGGGGCTTAGAGTTTAGGAGTCAAGGTTTAGGGTTCAGAGTGGCACCGGCAGCTCTACGTCTTAACCAATAGCGGAGAACCAGATGGAAAAGCACATGGAACATGAAATGTAAAAAAATCTGGCGGTCATGTAGGATATGTACAAATTGGGGAAGAGATGTATGTACGCAGGGTTTAGGGGGACTTAGAGTTTATGGTAGGGTATAGCGCAGAATGAATAATACATCAATAGTGAAATGGAAACAGGGCCTCCATTAGGGTCTAGGTCTTACATCATCGTTATTACAAGATCGGAGAATCAAATGGAAAAGCAGGCGGAGAAAGGGAAGTTGAGTTTATGGGGATTGTACTGTCCCTGACAGCCCTTCATCCCCTAAACCCGAAACCCTAAACCCTAAATGATTCTCCTCCTCCTCCTCCTCACTTGCTGCTTTTGTCCGGCCGAGGTTTCTTGCAGGCGAATCCTACGCAGGCACCGGACCCTAAACCCTAAACACTGAACACTGCACCACTTCAGGGTTCTACTCGTATCTCCTGGTGAGTCAGGTGTGGGCCTGTAGCTACATCTAGGGCTCCCTAAACGCTAGCCCGAAACTTTGAACCCTAAAGCCTATAGTCCCCCTTAAGTAGATGGAAGACGGCTTTGGGTATAGTATAATAAGATCCCATATACCCCATATTCTGTCTACTTAAGGGGGGATAGAACCCTAAACTTAATAACCTAAACCCTAAACCCTAAGCATTATTTTTTCCGCAATTTTGAAGGCCACTACATTCCCGCGGTGGCAACTGAGCTGCTTGTGGCCTGGGACAGGGGCGCTCAATTGGCGAAGGCGATCCATGTAGGTTTTCAGGTTTTTTAGGGAAGTTTAAGATTTTTAGGGATTTTTTAGTTTTTTTTAAGGGGTTAAGGTTTTATAGTGTGTGTGTGTGTTTTTTTTAATATTTTTAAGAAATTGTTTTTAGTGTTTTTAGGGTTTTCGTTGCTTTTAGTGTTTTTAGGGTTTTAGTGTTTAGGGTTTTAGGGTCTTAGGGTTCAGGAGTTAGGCAGAATCCCGGCTAGAAGGAAGACACATGTTCTCCTGTAGTGTGGTCAGTCATGAGAGTGATGATGTCGACGATCATTGTCATGATGCGTCTGGGGGGGCAGACATCGGATACTCTACTCATCCTGTATGCTGTGCAGCACCTGTCGGGTCCTTTTGTCGTATCACGCGGCGGATTCCTGATCTCCAGGTGCGGGGCATTGCAATGGGAAATGCGCTTGTGAGTCCTGCGCCGTGCCCCGGATTGTGTAGATGAAGATCTGCATCAATGATGTAGACGAGTGAATATTAACCCGAATTTCCTTTACTTGCAAAAATCCATTTCTGATAATCCGCGCCCCTGATATTATCAAACCCGACCCTCCTACCAATAAGTATCCCCCATACAGTACGTCTGGTCCATTAATACGTGATACTATATACCCCCACCCCCTTAAAATTAAACATTCCCCATATATTGCTACAGTGGGAATATTTAGTATTAGGGAGGGGGTGGGGGAATATTTTTGTATTGTGGGGATTTGCAACGCTAAGGCTCAAACCCTAAGAAAATGTTACTTCTCAAAGTCCTTTACATTCCCTTACATACGTATCTCTGTGCAGCTTTTTGGGGTGCGGGTGTGCCAGCGGAAGGGTTTAAATTAGTTTACGAAGTCCAGGGAGGGCGTGTAACAATCGTCTGAAAGCTGTAGGGTTTCGAGTTTAGGGTTTCAATCCTACACCCTAAGCTTCAGCCCTTAAACCCTAAACTTTAAACCTTAAACCCTAAACCCAGAGCAGGGCTGCCTGCAACAGAGCCGAGGCAGTTTGCCTCCAAGCCGATGATGGCGTTTACCGGTGGCAAGCAGGAGCAGAGCAACAAGTCCTTGAGGTTTCTGTTAGGGTTTGGGGATGAGGGTTTAGGTTACCATAATACACATGGATAATTACTAATGTGTTAAGAATATGGGTTTTCTACAACTTGAACTACGTTCTCTAACAGCCGCCCACCGTCAGGGCTTTCGTTTTGAAGCTTTTGGGCCAGGTGCTGTACCAATGCTTGTTAATCAGGAATCCTCTCCGACCCTGGTGTGTGCAGCTGCATATAGTTCCCCTAAGTAGATAGAAAAAGGCTTTGGGTATGTTATAGTGAGATCCTCATATACCCCATATTCTATCTACTGAAGGGGGACTATAACCCTAAGCCCTTAATCCTGATTAGCTTAGTGGTTTTTGGACTCTGGGTACTTGATGGCAGGCCTGCTTAGTTGCCCACGGATTGTGCCAGAATGACCCTTGCTACGCCGTCCGAGCCATGCCAGCGGCAAAGCCCTGAACCCAAAACCCAAGGGCAAAATTCACGTCCGTCATGCATCCTTGCCCAAGTCGCACCAAGAAGGGACCGAAGCTCAATCCACCGCGAGGTAGGGAAAACGCAAATCATAACCGAAAATTATTATTCAACGTATAAATGACTCTGTCATTTGATGTTCTATTTGATGTTCCATGTGATTCTCCACTACAGTAGTTTCTATTGTCTTTTCCATTCCCTAGACCATAAACCCCACATGAACAATGGCAGTCCGTAATCACTATGAGGAAGGAGGTTCGGTCGGTGGCGTGGTATCCGAGGCAGTCATACCCTCAGACTCTTGGGTAATCAAGGTCTTGGGCTTAGGGAATGAAAGAGAAAATGGGAACTGCCATAATGGAAATTTGAATGGAAGCCAGTGTAGCGGTTGAAAAGAGATGAATCCCCTCCCGCAACATTCAAACCACGCACAGGCTAATATTGAGTTTTCCCTGTATATGATAGTATGCTTGAGTATTTGTTTCATACTAGCGGGGTACAGTCTTAGGGTGAGGGGACTACTTGTGGATAGTAATAAGCTGTGTTGCACCGGGTAGCTTTCCCCTTTTGCACGCGGTCAGGATGAATCGGATGAAGGGTTTTTTGAAGGCTTTCAGGCATTGAGGATTCTCTTTGACCTTGCATACGACTTACTGTTTATCTTCAGACCTAGGTCGAGCAAAGCCCAAGGAACAACCTGGTAATATTCTATGTTCTTATTGCTGATTGTTTATTTTGGTGATTAGCTTTTTGGATATCACTAGTCAGTGTTTCATAATGTGAAAAACCTTAGCCTGTGTCTCCTCGCGAAAGCCTTCAGGTCTTCAAAGCCATGACAGCCCGCTTGCCTGGATCCTGGGATGGCCTCAGATCTTGCGAGCCAGGTTCTGAATGCAGTTTCCAATATAGGAGGTTTCCAAAATTAGGGGATCCTTTTTCTGGGGCGTCCTCGTCAGAATAAGGAGTATATAAAATTAGGGTCTATATAAGGGTCTCCCGATTTTGGGAAACTACCATATAGGGAACCCCAAAACTCTAAACCTAATTTATTTGTAGTACTTATGTCACTATAGGGACCTCCCAAAAGGGACCCACAATTTATGGAACCCCCAAAGCCCCAAAGCGTGGATACAAAGTGCCATGCGAGCCGCGGTGGATTCGGGAAAGCTGGCCCCACTTAGTTTCTACAAAGTGCGGTCATTACCCTAAACCCTAAACCCCAAACCCTACTAAACTCGAACCCTAAACTCTAAACCGAAACCCTAAATAGGGTAATGTAAGATCTCCTCCATCCACAGTAGCATATATCAGCAAGGAACGTCGTTGTGCTCTTGAAGCCAGCTTCAGAACCCTCCTTACACCCTAAACTTTAAGGGGCTTACGCCCTGCTGTGCCAGCGCAGCATTTGTGGGCTTGCCAGCAAAGGTAGGTCGAAGTGAATTGAAGGCTGGGCCAGTGTTTATTCTGGCCTTCTGCCTTCTGGGCATCTTCTGAGTCTTTTCTGGGTTTTGGGGCGTTTTCTGGGTTCCCTCTAGGGTTCTGGGCCTCTTCTGGATTCTTTTCTGGCCTTCTCGCTGCCTGTTCTGAAGTCTGAACCTTTTTGGGATCTCCGGCCCTCTTCTATGCTTGTTTCTATGTTTCTTTTGGGCTTCTGGGCCTTTTGCGCCTTGTCTGGGCCTCTGGGCCTCTCCTGAGTTTTCTGGGCTTCTGGGCTTCTCCTACGCATTTTCTTAGCCCCGCGCCTCTTTTTTAAGAGCATTTACAAGATGAGAATGCTCGGTAAAGTGGAAAATGCATTGAAAAGTGAAATCATTTTGCAAACGGGTAAAAACATCTAAAAGTGCGAGACTGTTTGTAGAATGCAACAAATCGGGTGTTTGGGCAGCCCCCAATTTCTACGCCTTTTTTGGGCCCCGGGCCTCTTCTGCTTCTTTGGGCTTGTGTGCATTGTTTAAACTTCTGGGCCTCTTCCGGGCCCCAAACTTTTTCTGTGCCTTTTCTAAGCTTCGGGGCCTTTTCTGGGCCCCGGGTACTTTTCCGTACCTTTCTATGCTCTGGGCCTTGGGCAATCTGGTTTTGACAACCTTCAAAAAGCGAACGCGGCCATTTCAAATTCGACAAGCACATCCAAAGAAAAAACGCCTTTTCCATCTTATGTTTGGGGCAGCCTCCTTTAAGAGAGGGAGTTGATTTGGGCGCCGAGCTGCGCTGGAGGACCCTTAAAAAACCCTAAAACCTAAACCTTAAAAAGACCCGAAGCCCTAAGCCCCAAGCCCTCAACCCTAAAAGACCTTAAGCCTTAAACCTTACGTACCCCAAACCCTAAATAAACCCTACACCCCACCCCAAAGCGGAACCAGTTTGGTGGTCCAAGGATGCCTGGATTCGATCCTCCGCTGCCGCCGGCTCCCCGGGGCGCAGGTCTCGCCCTCGCGCTGCGGCAGAAGAGGAAGACTATGAGGTTTTAGGGTTTGGGGTTTGGGTTTAGGGTTTAGTGATGAGGGTTTAGGAATTAGGATATAGGGTTTAGGGTTTAAGGTTGAGGATTTTAGGGTTTTGGGTTTGGGATTTGGTTAATGTTTAAGACACAGTTGAGGACAGGATGTAGGATTCAGGGTTCAGGAGTTCTGGAATTCAGGACTTACTTTTTCAGGGTTTGGGATTTGAGGTTTTGGCCAGTGAGTGCTTGTGTCCCCCTGGCGTTGCACACTAACTATGTGCAAGCCTAGAAGGGCAGGGCTTTGCAGGGTTGAGGGTCATGAGGTAGTTTGTGCACCTAAACCTTACTTGGAGGTCCATGGGCCTTAGTGAGCACCTCTCACCGGAACAGATAGTTATGGCACTACTTAGATCCCCGTTGTAGGCCTTATGGGGTTGCCAGAAATCTGCATGGGATTATAATTTACAACCTAGTTATAAGTGGTAGTAAGTCACTTGAGCCTCCTTATAAGCCCCTCGACGGCAAACTTTAAGTAACACAGTCGTTTGTTTCATTTTTATGTACGTACGCATATCCTAAAGCCTTGAAGTCCCTAAAGTAAACCCGTGGCCAAGGTGCGAGATGGCATACCACGTGTGTCTACAGTCGGACGCTTGGCACGCATGGCCCTCTCACTTCTTCTGGTCCTGCACTGCACATGAGCAGAATGTCTAGTGGAGATATGAAAGTCATTGAAAAATGGAGAGTCAAACGGAAAACCAGACGGAAAATTGCATGGAAACTGGGAGTATGGAACACGAAAATGTAACTATGCTCATGTAGGAGACATGTAGTCTGCTCAATGGGACAACAGAATGCAGAAAATGGAACATGAGATGGACAACAATGGAAGCTGGTCCCTATTCCTTCATTCCCTATGAAGAACCAAGATTATGGGTTGTAGCATTTCATAAGACGAAAATACTTCTGGTTGGCACAACCATCAAAAACACCAAATCCCCTTAATACCCCTAGATAACTATGTGACACTAGGTTCCATTTGTTGTTCCATGACTTAGTTCAACTACACCCTAAACTCTGAACCCTAGAGGTCAGAACGCTCAGGTCGGGTTTAGGGCTTAAACCCTAACCTCTACAACCGAAACCCTAAACGCTAAAGCCTACACCCGAAACCCTAAACCCTAATTCTGAAAATGAGAGAATCGATCTCAGGAACTGCTTCTCGAGATGCGATGCGGACGCAATGTCTATGACGTTCGGCAGGCCTTGGGATTGTTGTGCATGGGTTTAGGGTTTAGGGTGGGGGGACGGGCTTCTGGGACCTTTATCCCCCTTTTCTACACCCCCAAAAGGCAGAGGGTTAGTTATGGGGGTGTGTAGAAGGATTATGTAGTGTTATATAGGAGTATGTAGAAGGATTATGTAGGATTAAAACAAGGGTTTGTAGAGGATAGGCAGGGAAAATGGCAACTGACCCTAAACCCTGGACGCAAAACCCCAGACCCCAGACCCTAAACCATAAATCCTAAATCCCTAAACTCTAAACCCTAAACTCTAAACCCTAAATACTATATTCCGTTATTCCCATTTGCGATCACGAGAACCAGGCATGTCACGAGCAGAACGTGGTGGACTGTTTCGACTTCTCGGCCCCCAGGGCCTTCCTAAATGATGCCAAGGCAGGGTTTGGGGTTTAGGGTTTTGGGGTTTTGGGGTTTTGGGGTTTAGGGTTTAGGGTCTAGGGTTTTGGGATTTAGGGTTTGGGTTTAGGGTTTTTAATGTGTGTAGAGTTCAGGGTTTAAGGTTCGGGTCTAGGGAGGGCAGTAATCTAGAAGCCAAATTGACTACCAACCACATGCCCTGAAGTATAGCCTTTCTATAATTTTACCATACTGCAGGATTAAGTTTTCAGGCCTCTACAGTGTAATCCCAACCCTTCCTGCAGGGTTCTTCCGAAACAGCCTTGGGAAACCCAAAGGTGCCTAAACCCCAAACCCTAAACCCTAAACCTCAAACCCAAAACCCAAAACCCTAACCCTAAACCCCAAACCCAAACCCAAAACCCGAAAACCCCAACCCGAGGTGCAGAAGGCTTTGGGGGTGCCATCCGGACTCGCCTGGAAGCCGTGTAACATGCAGGTGGAGTCTGAGCTCCTTGTCATGCTTGCGAAATAGGACTTCTACCCCAAACCCTAAACCCCAAATCCACATGCGTCTTGAGAACCTGGTGCAGACTCCCTGGGCTGTCATTGGCAAAAATGCGGGTCCTTGTCGTTGGCGTGTGGCTAGGAGTCAGTCAACATTTTCTCAAGTTTGTCAGGCAACAGCCATACTGCAAAAAGAATTTTCTATGCCAGACTAAGTCTGTGTGGCTTTGGTGACGCTCAACGCTGGTTTGAAGCTAGTGAAGCGTCAGAAATGCTTTCAGCAAACTTGCACATGGAGAGCAATGTGGTATCGCATTTTATGCCTTCACACTCTCGACCACGGGTCTTACTTTGATCAGGGGCCTCAACCCCAAACCTTTTGCATGGTGTTTGAGGCCTGGAGTCTGTTAAACAGCCGAGGTTTGTCCGCAGCGGCGACTACATGAGTTCCACGGATGGATTGGTGGCGGAGCTTCTTGAACGGGGCATTGCAGTTCTGGCCTACTCTGGGGACCGGCTTGCCTGGTCTGTATGCCTTCATTTCGGTAGAGTGTCATGCAGCCTGAAGAGAGAGATTTTTGATTCATCTCCATACTTCATGACGCAAGCCGGAGGTGTGTCGTTGACAAGATCAGAGTTTGTTAAAGCACGAATCAGTTCCCCAGTTTGCTAGGACACAGACCTTGTGGTGCCTGGGCCGTTTAGTACATCCTTATTGTCATCGAGCGTCGCTGCTTCATATGTTTGATGCTGACAATTTTTTGGAATTGACTAGTTTTATTTTTAATAGTATTACCAATATATTACCATTGTTAATACTACTATTATTGTCATCATTATTACAATCTCACAAGAGACCCCAAGAATAGCCCACCCTGCTCTCGGCTGTTGGGCTCAGGTAGATTGGCTGGGCACTCGGGACTGGATGGAGAGGCTTGAATGGCGCAGCTGGGCCATATCAAATGCTAGGTCCTTGCTGACGTGAGGAGCTCATGCATTGGGTTAGGCCCCCACCCCCTCAATAGTAGCATTCTTTAGGTGGACCCCGCACCCTGTAATAGTGATTATAAAGGATAATAGACTATATTAGGGTCCTCTTATAATCCTATTATACCACTATTACAGGGTGGGGGGTCCTCCTAAGGTATTCTTGGAGTATCTAGCGGCTTTTCACTAATTACGTTTATCTCTTGTGGTCACTCTGAGTCGGTGGGGGGGCCTGAGAGGCATTTGTAGTTAAAAAAAGTGGCCGAAGCTGTGGGTTCAGGGTTTATAGTCCCCCTTAAGTAGATAGAATATGGGGTATATAGGGATCTGATTATATTATACTCAAAGCCATCGTATTTCTACTTAAGGGGGACTATAGGCTTTTGGCTTTGATGTTTTCGGAGGTGTTTTTTCACAGAAAACTGTGTAGCTGAGCTTTTCCGATCCTCAAGCCTCAGACTGGGTTGCTGTAAAGGATTTAAACTAAGTTGCTATAACGTGGAAACCCATATTATGGTAACTTCATGTAAGTTCAAAAAAAGCCAACCAACAGAAGCCAACTAGTCTTGAGAAGCCCACCCTCCAGCTGGCGTGGCCATTTCCTGCGCCTTAACTTACCAGTTCTGAGTAGAGAATGTATAAGTATAAGGTCTATATATATGTATATATATATATATATAGAAAAATGGGCCTTTGGGTTTAGGGTAAAGGGTTTAGCTTGCTGGTGGTTAGTAGAATGGAACATGATCGCTATATAAATGCTCCTTGTGTGTTTCTTTATTCTCGACTGAGGGCCAGCAAGTTAAACCTTTGGAGCTCGAGTTCACAGAGCTGAGTCTGAAAAAAGGCCATAGGCAACGACCGAAGCACCTCTTGCATCGTTTTCCCTAAGCCCAAAACCCTAAACCCGAAGCCCTAACCGCGGGGGCTTGCAAGTATTTGGAGCCACCTTTTCGGGGTCCCTGCATTTTAGAACCGCAGTACTGTGGGTTTGCAAGGGGGAGGCCAATTTGGCTAAACACAAAACCGTGAGCCCGAATCCCCAAATTTTTCACTACAGCAAACAAGTTTTGAAAGCCAAGGAGGGCAAGCCAAGTGGGCTTCAGTCCCTCTGAAGCCCTTCAAGGTGCGCTTTCTTTCAAGTTTTGTGGGGGGGAAGGAAAAGACGGTGGAAGCCACTTCAATTTTTTTGTCTCGGATTTTGGGTGCTTAGTAGGGAATTGGGGGACGGGTTGAAAGGGGCACCTCTTTTAGGGGACTAGGGCCTAAGAGGCTACTGTGGGGATCCCGCTTTCCTTACTCAGCGCCAGGTAGTCAATGAAATGAACATCTCATCATAACCACAGCATCCATTGTAAGGAGCAAGGCTTGCACTGATGGTGAAAATTACCATCACGATGGTGAGAACTTTCTGTGGCTTACAGGTGCCGAAGGGGGGGGAACATGGGTTCCACTACGGGGATCATATGAGGTATATTCTTCACTCCTAGTATACCCCAGAATAATAGCCTCTACAATAGTCCCCTATATAATTTCCAATATGACCCCCTTTAAGGAGTTTAGTCTATAGTTCATATGGGATGAGAATCGGGATCCACGTCTCCTCTCCCTCAAGATTCAATGTTGGAGGTGCACAATCGAACGGTGGGTCGGCAGAAGTCGTATGACGGCTTCACGCCGCTGAGCTTAAGCCCTAATACGTAAGCGCGGACCCCTAAACTTAAGGCTTACGCCGCCCACCTGCGATGGTGGGCGCGCTTATGCCGACAGTTCTCCCTGTTTTTTCCCGGGCCGCCTCGCAGAGGCGGGGAGGCATCAGCTCAAATTTCTCCACCCCTGGCCAGTGATACGATTCACAACTTTGAGAGATATGTACATATACGTGGGGAAGTATAATAAGGGGTAATACGGGGCCATATAGGGTACTCTAAGGGTTGCGGAGGGGTTAGAGGCCCTAAACCCTAGACCGTGAGTAGACACTAAGCCCTCAGGAAGTTGCCCGCTGAAATTGAGCATTGCCTGACTGCAAATAGAGGGTAGAAAGGGCGTTAAGAAATACCTTAAGATTTTATGGGGCCCAAGTACAGGGAATGCCCGTAGCGCTCTCAAAGGTTCCTTCAGATCTTCGAGTCCGGCCACCTTGTGCCCAAGGACCAGCCAGAGGTCGCTGATCAGAGTTGGATAGAATCAAGTTGCAGCTCTCTAAATCTTGTACCCTAAACCCTAAACCCCAAAGCCTAAACTCTGAACCCTAAACCCTAAATCCTCAACATGCACATTGACCCCAGGTGGCCTTGCGGATGCTCCGGAAGTTCGTCTCCTTAGATTCAGATTGGGTGGCTGCACCGCCCACAGTCTTCAAGGGAGGCCCCAAAGGCATGGGCCTTTCGGCTATGGCCCCAGAAAAAGTCCAAGACAGCTCCAAAGTTATGGGCCTTCTGGCTGAAGCTGCAGACAAGGCCCAAGACAACAAAATTGTCTTGGGCACTGTAAGTTTGCTGGGTGCCGCATGTGCCGCGTTCTTGGCTTGCATGCTCCGCTTTGGGTCGCACCGGCAAGAGCCTGATGCGCAGTATTCGCTGATGACATAGCCCCTAGCGCAGAGGAGCAAGGAGGCAGAGAGCAGGGTTTAGGGTTTCGGGTACGGAAACAAGCAATTTGCAACTAGGTAATTAATATCCTAAAGCTTCTTATAGCTACTAGTATAGATGACAGACTGTGTCGTAGTATTCCTGCCTATGTATCTCCCACACCCTAAATGCCCATATGATCCCAGTTTCCATTTCATGCAAAATGTTCGTTTCCATTTGATTCTGCATCACCGGGGCACCATGACTGTAAGATCCCTGTATAACCCTCTATGAAGCGCCTACTTTCCATCTCATGTTCCACTTGCTTTGCCATCTGATCCGCCATTCTCTGGATACCATCCCTAGACCCTAAATAATATGGTTATGTTCACTTCTGTTTCCTTTCTGTTCAAAACTCCTCTATAAGCCCCTACCCTCCATAGCCCTAAATCCTAAATCCTAAGCCCAAACCCCAAA